CCCCCCCCCCCCCCGAAGCGAACCTATTCTTATTTCCAACTCGCAATTCCGACGAGTTTGATCCGCGCAAATAAGAATAACGATTATTTCAAGTGATTAATAGGGAATGTATTTTCAGGGTGCTTTATAAAGCACGCCCCTTCATAAATGAAATAGCGGTGAATAGTAGATTGTTCTTTGAACAATAAATCGTAGATGATTCATTCGACAGAATATACCCTCAAAATTACCAAAATAAACTTCAGCCACACATTATTCCTTATGCAATACACCCTGACTAGAAATTATCACTTTCACCCCCTTGTATCCCTGGAACCGTGCCTATACACATCTTGAAATTTTACTGGGATTAATGTTTCATCTAATAGTACTATTTGTTATAAAAAAAAGTTTGAAATTTGTCCAAAAAATAAACGAAATTTGCCATCACTCTTTAATGAAGAAGTAAGATTAAAAATTAAATTAAATTTTATACATACATTGATAAAACAATAATAAATATTAGTGCAAAGGTTTATGTCAATCCACTTATACAAAAAATGCAAAAAAATATGATATTGTTGTATAAAATCATTATAAGCTAAATTATTAATTGTTTCGTTTTTACAGTTGATTTCTGCACAGGTTAATATTATCAAAATTTTTTAAATAATATTGAATGATATGCATAGCTTATATTGGTTGATTATTTGACTGACATTTTTAACTAATATTGTATAGCCAAAACATTATTACGAATGGTTGCGCATCACTGATACATATCATTAACATTGTCTAAGCTGAATAAAAAGTCATTACAACATCAAAATAGCATCGAACAGCTCCACAATGATGATTAATTCTAGTAAGTACTATCGATCAGTCATGATTTGTTTTAATGTCATTTTAACATTAACATGACTTGTTATTCTACTCAGACAGCTCCTATTTTACATACAATATATGAATAATTGAAATCCTTGTTTGTGAAAGTGCTTTTATTACTATGTATTTACTCAAAAATACAAATAATAAATTTTTCTATAAAGCGTCATCAAGATGTTAGACAAATAAAATAATTAATTAAAAAATGTGTTTCACATTTTTAAATTTTTTATAAGACTAATATTGCTCATAACAACATATGTTGTACATATACATATATAAATAACTAAAGCCACATTCGATTTGAACGCTTACGCACTGTAAGCTTTATTTATTTTATCTTCTTTCCACGAGTAATAATAAGTGATAAAGGTACAACAATGGAAAAATCTGAATTTCGTGTGTTGATAAAGCATTGCTTCCTGATGGGAAAAAATACCGTTCAAGCAAAGCAATGGCTTGATAAGTGTTATTCGGACACTGCTCCGTCTGCTCCCTGCTTTATCAACACACGATATTCAGATTTTTCCATTGTTTTGAAAAATGCAAAAGTAGCGTCATTTAAACCACTGTAACTTGTAAAGTAAAGGTCCGATTGAGCTAAAATTTTGACACGTATGTTTGAAGGTTTAGTACTTTCTAAAAATCATATAGATTTGTTATTAGTGCGCCGTCTATTATGTCAGGTCCGGGACTTATTGAGTGATGTGTTATACTTTAAATTTGTTTAAAAGAATTTTCAATTCCGTGTGTGTAAAGCCAATTTAAAGTATTAATCAATATTAACTCTAACTTGTAATAATGTAGATATAATTTTTTTGATCATATCAGTATCATTTTAAATATAATTATAAATAGATAGACATTATATATCATATAATTGATAAGTTTTTCTTATTTTTAATTAATTAATGGCCTTAGACATTTAGTCAGTAATGTAGATGAGATGATAATAAGCGTTAGAGTTGACGTTTATATAACGAGAGTTTGACATTAAAAAGCTCAGTTATATTTCATCTGCAATTGAAATACCAGTGATATCAAAACCAGATATAACCAACAGCACGAATAAAACAAAGTAAAACAATAAGTACATAAAATCAATGTTAAATAGACACTAAACAATAAGTTAAAAATTAAGTAATACACATAAAAAGTTAATAACTTTTAATATAACTTAATCAACTTTAAATAAGTTAAATTTTAAATTCGACTAGTTACATTAAAAAAAAAACATAAATTTTAACTTATTGATTCCTTCAAAATCAAAACTTTTTTATTTTTGAACGTGAAAATTGAATTTGAAAAATTTTTTAATTAAATTTTAAATAATTAGAAAAAGTTTAATGATTGTAAGGAGCGTGATGTCTTGCCAGTGCATAGCTACTTGCAGTTTTTTCGAGCTTCTAAAAAAAAGAAACATACATAAAACATTTTTCTTTAATTAAAATTTTATTTAAGTAACGAACAATACAGACGCTTTTTAATAATAATTATAAATATTAATCTAATAATCGCTATATTTATTTAAATAGTGTATTTTTTTCCGTTTAATTCTTTTAATATTATCAGTTATAAATAAATAAAGAAAAAATATATTTATGTATAAAAAATAGAGCAAAAGTCATTATTTCTTTAGAATTTCAAACAAACTAGTTTTACAAATAATGTATTAAACATTATTTATAAATTCTGTTGATGATATAGCTTTTTTATTTGAAATATTCTAATTTTAAAAAGTAGCATTTTAATATAATTTAATGTCAAATAACATAATATTGATGTAAATTTAACTAACAAGAGGAACCCCTGAGATGATATCCTTGAATTTCAATGTCAATTTTTTTTTGTGACTCTACAGACCAGAAAATAAATTCCGTGTTCGGTGATTTTTTCGAGTAGGCTTTAGTTTTCGATTTTTATATTTTGAAAATTAGCTGCGCTTTGATCGGCTTAGATGAGCCGTAACACTGATATGCTTCGCAAGCAGTACGATTGACACAGATGGTTAGGTACTCGCGTTGGAAATCATTCGTGGTGATTCAATCACACAGATAATACAGTAAAGAAGCTGAAGCATGCGATATCTACAGAACAAAATATGAAAAGCTGATAATCTCGGGAGCTCGCAAATAATCGACTCTCGTAAACTCGGCTACATTTACACAGTGCGCTTACTATTAGTCCGCGACCTATACAATATGTGTATTTGTTTAACCGACAAGTAAAAACAAGGACATCTATTGTATAAGTCAGAGAGAGAGTTGTAAGCGCCGATTTTAAAAATTTAAAAACTCGAAAATTAAGACTTATCTGGAAAAATCGCCGAATATAGAATTTATTTTTTGACCTGTTAGAGTTACTATAAAAAAATTGACATCAAAATCCAAGGGTATCATTTCGGGGGTTTCCCTTGTAAGTTAGTTTTCTATTAATGATACTTTTAAAGTAAATAAGTTATATTTATAGGTCATATTAATTTAACTTAATTAAGAGAAAAACTTAATTTACTCAACCTTGCACAAAATATACACTTTTCTTATAGATTATCCGAGAAAATAAAAAAATCATGAATGGCAAAGGAACATTTAAAATGTGGAACGGTATCGATTCCAGTGAAGATATCGTTATTTCAGGCATCGCTGGCAGATTTCCTCGTTCAGACGATATGAATCAATTACGAGAAAATTTATTCAATAAAACTGATCTTGTAAGAGCAGACCATAACCGATGGAAAATAGGTGATTAATTTATATTTGTGTTAATATATTATACTTTTACATTTACACCTGACTGATTCAGATTGAATATGCTATCCCTTCTATAATATGTATATTAAATGTAATTACATATTTTTATTTGTCAATAAAATGTACATCAAATTGAAATTTTATATTAAGAAATGAACATTGAACATAACATTCTTACCTGAATATGTTTAGCTGTGGAGCATGCAGAATTCTCAAAACGTATGGGAATTGTAAATAATGTAGAAAAATTTGACGCGGAATTTTTTGAATTATCTTTTGAAAAAGCACATTCATTTGCACCCGAAGTAAGACTATTACTGGAACATACTTATGAAGCAATTATCGATGCGGGGATCAATCCAAAGCAATTACAAGGAAAAAATACTGCAGTAATTGTAGGATCATCTATCATTGAATCACAAGAAAAATTATTTAAAGATACTCAGGTAAGAAAGATCTCTCACACAACTGTTACGTCCAAGCCTCAGGATTCTTTATTTCGAGGGAAGTATTCGGGGTAAGGAGGAGGCTTCGGAAGAACGTAACTGACGCCGCTCTGTCTCCCGATAGTGTCCACCCTGCGGACCGTCACGAGAGACAGTCGGACGCACTTAAAGAGGGCACAGAATTAGGTCAGTGTGCCATACGGCCCACTATAACACTTATTCCGAGCCGTGCCCGTGCGTCCTTTAAATTTAGGCCAAGAACTCAATCCTTATAGCCTGGGATATGGACCGAGTGCGATCTCGGGGAAAACGGTTGAGAATGCGAGGAAAGGTTTAAATTAAGTTGGATACTTTAATATAAAATAACTTATGACATGCTTATTTATTATTTTAATATAAGGTTATAATAGCTTGAATTGCAGGTTCTTATATTTATTTTGGGATAAATATTCTTAATAAACAAATTTATTAAAAATAAGAGTAAAGAGCCAAATAGTTTAAAAAAAATATATAAGTACAGTTAATTCAAAATTCGCAATACATTGAATGTATATTCTTATCTTTAATATTTATGTGTGTAACAATGTGGAACAATGAGGGGCTTCCTCGTCTGTGGTGATACGTTCCACTGATGATAATAAAAAAAAAGAAAAATTTCCCTTTTATTTGGCGACTGATTAAATAACAGGTGCGACACAGGGACAAGAAAGATGAGAAAAGAGGTAACTTACTGCTCGCGTAGTGTTTGCTAGCGGCTAAGTCCCTTTGGTAATGTAGGCCTTGGTAACCCAAACCTTGAAGTCGTCCTCGAGGGGACAGGTGGACCTCCAAATGTCCGCAAGTATATTGGACTCAGCACTTGGACTCTATTAGTCCGCACTGGGCACTAAGCTTGAGCACTAAACTCAATATGCCGCACTGACTACTAAGGCTCGATTGATCAACTACGTTGGAATTGTCTCAGTCAATCGACTCGGATTTTTACGTCTGATTGACTTTGACTCCAAAAATTGCCTCAAGCGACTTCGGGAATTGTCTCGGCCAACCTACTCGGACTTACGTCTCGGAAGATTGGCTATGACAATCCCGATGATGAACGGCCAAAAATCGGGTTTTATATAGAGATTCTCCATGATTTGTCGGGCTCTGATTGGAGGAGGAATTTGTTAGTTAAACAAAAGACTAAGTTTCTCACCCTGGGATTGGTTGGGAGTTAGGATGCGTCTTGGGGGTGGGAAGGAGTTTGACCGATGTCACCGTTATCTTAAAATTTATGGTCTTACTTACTTAATTTACGCGAGAGGCTGCATCGAGTAAATGCACGTGCACCCTTTGTCGCGAGGCCGCCGTATGACAGATTTTATTTTTTACGAGCACAACTCGTGAGAATCATCCGCGATTTGATCGTTAGAAAAGCGCTCTGGTGCCAGTCTTGCATTTTTCGTTGACAGTAGAGTGAATATGTTTATGGCTTTTCTGTGTTTCGATGACAGTAGAGTGTATATTTATTACTTTTTCTAGCCGAGACTTCGGAAAGAAGATTCGCGTTCTCACGATTCGTGCACGTGCGCTCGTAAATGAGTTGTCTTAGAATGACATTTATGGCGAGATAGCGAGTACTTTTACTTAGATTTTTGGTAAAGAGACAGCCGGACTGTCGGTTATTTATTTATGGTCTCGCTATCCCGACACTTGTAGATCTTTCCGAAAGAAAGAATCGTGAGAATCGTCTGGACGTAACACACCATGTACACACACACACACGCGCGTGCGCGCGCACGCATTCACCCAACCACGCACCTAGGCAAATGTGTGTTATGCATACATATAATGAATGTGTGTGTGTGTGTGTGTGTGTGTGTGTGTGTGTGTGTGTGTGTACAATATATGTCATACATAAAAATAGTAAACTTAGATTAAATTGTTCAGATATGTGTAATTGCAACGGCAAATTTCTTTTTAGTTAAATATCATTGGATGTAGTAAATCTGCAACAGCAAATTTAATTTCGTACTGCTTGGATCTGAAAGGACCATCTTATACTGTTGATGCAGCATGTAGTTCTACTCTTTATGCTATGGGCGTTGCTTATGATTGCATCATGGCAGGCAAATGCGAAGACGCCATAGTTGGAACTGCACAATTATGTTTTAATCCCCTTGTAAATCTGCAATTCGCGCGGCTTGGTATATTTGTTATGAAATATTAATTTTTATATTTTTACTAAAACTTTTTAATCTAAATAATACGATGTGCAGGAAATTCAGTTCCTATATCCATAAAAAACAAATAAACTACACGAGTTATGTAATTTTGATGAAATGTTTCTAACAAATAATTGTTAAAATGGAATATTACATTATCATGGATGAAATTGATAATTTTTAAATAAATCTAAATTTACTTATTGTGCATACTAAAAATGCATATTTTGTATCTTTCGCAGGTGTCTTGTCACATGACGGTTATTGCAGACCACTTGATATCGCTGCTAACGGTTATGCGCGTAGTGAAACAGTGGCAGTAGTGTACCTTCAAAAAGCGAAAAATGCTAAAAGGATTTATGCCATGTGTCCGTACATTAAATTAAACTGTGATGGCTACAAACAAGAAGGAATAACATATCCTTCATCACAAATGCAATATACATTATTAAAGGAATTTTACGAAGAATGCAAAATACCAACATCTTCTTTAGATTATGTCGAAACACATGGTACCGCTACCATAGCTGGCGATCCTCCAGAAATTGACGCTATCTATAATGTTATGTGTAAAAATAGAAAGAGTCCATTAATGATCGGATCTGTAAAATCCAATCTTGGACATACTGAACCAGCGAGTGGTTTTAATCAGATCGCTAAGGTGTGTAAAATAAATAGTTTAGATTTTACGTATTATTATAAAATTAACTCTTATTTTATTTTATATGTTGAATTACGAATATATACAAGGTATCTGATAATTATTGACAGGCTCATACATTAGTAGAATTGATTAAATTGAGTTGAAAAGTATTGCACTAATTTGCAAATTAAAGATATAGTTAACTGACACACTTCTCATTTAATCAATTTCAAGTGCTGGCAAAAAGTTCGGCAACGGTCAAATATCTTGGAAAATAATGATTATGGAAAAAAATGTTTAATACAAAAGTTTTAGTATATCAAGTGATCTATTATACGGATGTATTGAAATGACTTTCATGTGACCTTGAAGGACTCCGTGAAGGTCAACTTTGAAATCTTAAATGGAAATACCTATTTTCTATTATATATTCTTAAAGCTGGTGTCAAGACGTTTCCAAAACACTGATTACAAACCCTTTTTGCTTTAGATCTTCTTGAGTTATGAACCTTCAAAGTTTAAGTATCGCCGGTGCGTTATCTAAGGTGTACCGCGTGAAGGTGGCACGATCGCCGCGGATATTCACCTCTTAGCATGCTTAAGTCCGACGGATGTTCGGCGCGCTATTGGGGGGAACTATACTTACGTATAGTATATAAAATTCACTCTTTAACATATCTTATATATGATCGCACTAATAACAGCGAATATCTCTCATTAGCCGTTATATTCTTGTTATTTAAAGCATATATATATATTTTATTTTTTAAAATTCAATATAAAAAAAAATTTATTTACAATACGAAGGTTTTCATGCACTGAAACAGCAATTTTGAAGAATCTAAGTAATTCTTTTCTTTACTGTTTCTATACAAAAATTTGAATTATTTTTCAACATATCTACTTATAAAAGGTCAATGACTGCCCATATACATATATGATATATGATTGGTAAATGTACATTTTACTGATTAAATTAATACTAATCATCGCATAATCTTGACATGATAACAGATAACTTGTTTTCCTGTTTCTTTGCTTCACATCTAACATATCAATGTTCCAGGAAGCACTATGATATTAATTAGATATACATATTGATAAGGATCCGAATGAGGATCGAAACGTATCACTTTCATTTTCAATAAAGGATTTATATTATCACACACCAACATCTTGTGCAGACTCAAATGGCATTACACCTCACATTTAGATAAATTAATACTTATTAAATTAATTCAAATTCATAACTTAAAACTGTTATTATAATTATTGAAGGTAATAATAGCATTCGAAACTGGATTTGTCCCACCAAACATCAATTATACATCACCAAGGAAAGATATAGACGCTTTGATTGACGGCAGTGTTCGTGTGGTCCAAGAACCAATGCCACTTCAAAATGGTTACATAGCAATCAATAATTTTGGTTTTGGAGGATCCAACGCTCATATGTTATTAAGATGGAATCCTAAACAGAAAATTAATAATGGAGCATCAAACGATGACTTACCTAGACTTGTCGTATTATCTGGACGTACTGAAGAATCAGTGAAACTATTTTTAAACGACGTTGGTATAGATTTTTCAAAAACATTTACATATTATTATTTTGAACAATTAAAGACATATGCACTACATCTAGTTTTATTTTTAAAAAATTAATTACAGATTGCTAATCAGCCAATAGATGTAGAATATATCCGTTTACTACACGATATCTATGCAGATAACATAAATGGCCATCCATGGAGAGGGTACATTATATTGAGTACTTTCCAAGAAAATTCAATAAAGGAAATACAAAATTGCAGGCGATCGAAAAGACCAGTTTGGTTTATATTTTCAGCCTTAGGTTCTCAATGGCCAGGAATGGGTACATATTTAATATTTAATATTTAATTAATAATTTGTGCCACTTAAATAGCAAAATGATACACTTTTTAAACTAAAATCCTACATCAGGTCAAAACTTATTAAAGTTTCACATCTTCGCAAAAGCGATAAAAAAATGCGACAATGTTTTAAAACCGTACGGTATAAGTGTTATAGACATTTTGACAAAAAAGGAAGAAAACATATGCAAAAACGCGATAAACCCTTTTCTTGGAATCGTCGCTATTCAGGTAAACAATCTATTATTATAACGTAAAATCTATAATTATATATATATTGGGAGTACAAATTAGTTCGGTCCGTTTTCCAAAAGATGACTTCAAAGACTAGTCATTTTTTCGAGATGGGATTCGAAAATTGCCTGAGAGATGGGAAAAAGTAGTAGCCAGCGATGGACAATACTTTAATTAATCTGTTCATTCATTTTGTCTTGAAATAAATGCATTTTCGAACACAAAAAACGAATCGAACTAATTTGTACACCTAATATAATTATATATATGGGTATCAATAATACACTTTACGTTTACTGTAAACAAAACATTAGTAAGATGAAAATACATTTCTTAAATTCATTATACTACATTAGAACTAGAATTTTACTAGATTTACATTATATTTTATGATTATATTAATAACTACTTTAAATATCGTTTTCAGCTATAAAATTATTTGTATATATTTATAGATTGGTTTAGTAGATTTTCTAACATGCTTAGGAATTACTCCCGATTACATGATTGGTCATTCTGCCGGTGAACTTGTTTGTGCATACGCAGATAAATGCCTCACCATTGAACAAACTATTTTATCAGCATACTTTATTGGTTTGGCATGTGCCGAAGAAACAATAATTCAAAGCTCGATGGCGATTGTCAACATCGACTACAAATATCTCAAAAATAAATGTCCCGCGGATATTGAAATAGTGTGCCACAATAGCGAGAACAGCTGCGTCGTGTGTGGACCAAAAGAATCCATAGAAGGATTCATGAAAGAATTACAGGTAGAATTAGAAATGACTCGTAGAAGTTAGTGCATAAAAAATATTTCAGTTTTCAAAACACAGAAAGATTAAATCGTGTCACAATTCGCTGCAGCTGCATGTGTTGCACTTTTCTGTAATCAGGTCAACAATATTTACGTAAAGGAGATCAACTGCAACATACCCTTTCACAGTTCGTACATCGCATCCGCGGAAAGACAGCTTTTGCTCAGTTTGCATAAAATAATATCACACCCAAAAAGACGAAGTTCAAAGTGGATCAGTACATCTATACCTCGTAAAGAATGGTTTACTTCATCATCAAAGTTATCATCGGCGGTCTATCATACACGAAGTATATTAAACACAGTTCTGTTTCAACAAACAACGGATCTCATTCCAAGTAACGCTGTAGTTATCGAAATCACACCAGACGATGTTCTGCAGCACGTTTTGAGTGGATCCTTACATCCAAATGTGAAAAATCTTGTGTTAACTCGACGCTCCGAAGAAAATATTGATTTTCTTTTACAAGGAGTAGGAAAGCTTTATAATTGTGGTTTACAACCGCAAATTGCCAAATTATACCCACCGGTGCAATTTCCAGTTAGCCGAGGAACTCCTATGATTTCCCCGTCAATCAGGTAAATATTATGATTATAATCGTAACTTATTGTTAGATGACGTGTATATATGTATTAGAAAAATATTAATATATAAATAATATATATAGGTTATTTACATATTAACATGTTTATATACGTTATATATACAGAATCTCCCATTTTAATGATCCAGCCCAATATCTCGAAAACTAACCCGAGTAGACAAAAATGTTTTAGACAAAAGTTGTTTTGCTCGTAGGAGGATATAAGATGTGCTATTGATTTGACTTTGGATAGTCTTCTGAAGTCTTCTGATAGTCTTCCACGTAAAGGACACCTCCAAATTTTTTAATAGAACCCCCTATTTCTCTTTACATTTCTTTATATATATCTCAATAGCTTTCCTAATCTCTATAACTAAGTTACTTTTCGTTAAGTACTTGTTAAATTATAAGACTTGAAATTTGTAACACAGTAGATTGTCATTTGAATAACCATTTCTACATTTTGACTATTCAAAATCAGTGATATGTAATTAATAAGTTTTAATAAGTACTTAACAAAAAGTAACTTAATTATAGTGCTTTGGAAAACTCTCTAGACGAGCTATAAGAGTATGTAATGAAAAATAGGAGGTTCGATTTAAAAAATTAAAGGTGACTTTCACGCGACCTTCAGACGACTATCCAAGGTCAAATCAATGGCACCATCTTATATCCCCCTTCGTGCTAATCAACTTTTGCCTGAAATATTTTTTTCTACTGGATTTAGTTATCGAGATATCGGGCTGGATCATTTAAAATAGGACATCTTGTATATATAATATATATATGTACGTATAATTAATTGTAATCATAAAACTATTATATAACTGTATACTAACAAATAATAATTAGATTTATTTTACATGTAACAACAATAATGTGCATGCGAACGTAAAAGATTGTTGACATATAAGAAGAATTGTAATTATTTAGATGGAATCATTCCGAAAATTGGCTTGTACCGAGTCAAGGACAAGAGTTCATAGAATCCAAAGGAAGTTACGTCAAAATTTCGCTCGAGGACGAAGACTATGAATATATGAGCGGTCATGTAATCGATGGAAGAAATTTGCTACCCGCGACAGGTTATTTGGGACTCGTTTGGAAAACTATTGGCATGATGAAAGGGTTAATGTATACAACAATACCTATAGTTTTCCGTGATGTAAAATTTATTCGTGCTACCTATTTGTCAAAAAATGATGCTGTAGAACTATATATTTCAATACAGACAGGTATTTACGAGATGAGTGATTATTATTTTAATCGGGATTTCCTCTGAAACTTTCATAAGAAAACTCGCAGGTTCGTCGTATCTTAAATTATTGTTTAATCATATACCATAATACAATATTTTTCAATGCAAACAAAAAATGCCGGGATCCGATGGATTAGCGAGTATTGATAACGGTAAATGTAGTACAATAACACAAAAGCAGAGTAGTAAAAATATAAATTATTACAGATGGAAAATTTGAAATAACTGAAGGAGAGAGCGTTGTTGTCACGGGTACAGTGTACGAAACATTGAATCCAGAACAGGAAATGATTCCGATAGACCTATTACCGGAGGATAGTGATGAAGATGAAGTCATGACATTAAGAGATATATATAAGGAGTTGAAATTGCGAGGATATCAGTACAAAGGCTTATTCCGTGGACTAAAAAGTGCCTCGGTTTCTGGAAATCAAGGACATATCGCTTGGAAAAATAATTGGGAAACATTTATGGATACTATGTTACAGATGGTAATTATTGGATATGACACCAGAGATTTATGTGTTCCTACGAGTATTCAGAAGTTAGTGATAAATCCAATACTTCATGCTTCGAAGCTGCGAGGCAACATTGAGAGTGCAGAAGTTACAACAGACATGGATAAGCGTAATTAAATTTTATTACTAAAAGTTCTTCATTATTTAATTCGTAATATACAATATCTTCATAATATGAACGTATCATTTTAATTATTTATTACAGTATTACGGGTACGAATATACAAAGAGATAGATACAATAAAAGCTGGTGGCGTAGAGATTCGAGGACTTCAAGCTACCCAAATCAATCGTCGGAAATTAGCGCAAGATGCTATCATCGAGGAAAATACATTTATAGCTCATTGTGATCGAGCTAAGATTTCTTTGAACGAAGCAATTCGGATATCAGCTCAACTCGTGCTGGAAGATCATCAAATTATCAAAGTGCAAGTCGCTGAGCTAGTGGAAGATGTCGACGATGTTGAGTTAGATTGTCTTTCATCTTCGTTGCTTCTCCAGGCATTTGATGACATGCCACTTATACAAGCGAATATCGCTCTATTAACGTCATCAAATCGTTTCGAGCAAGAAGACTTACCGCAAAATTTCACAATAAATGATGTTACTAATCCAGCTTTGGTTGAAAAAGTTTTAATTGTTGCTGGATTCAACCTTATGACCAAACAACGCGAATCGTTAGAGAGACTGTTGCCATTTTTGAAAGAGAGTGGTTATGTGTTAACTCGTGAGAAATGCGAAATAACTGATTATAAAAAATATTTGCAACAATACGGATTAAACATTATTCTCGAAAAACGCACCGATACAGAACTAATTTTGCTTTTGAAAAAAAAAGTATTTATAAAAGAAAGAATAGTTGTTTATATAAGTAACGATAATTTCAGTTGGCTGGAGAATCTAAAGCCACTTGTGAGCGACGAGAACAAACTTAATAGAACCAGTAGAATTATAATTGTTGGAGAGAAAAACTTCGAGTGCGGTTTATTGGGTTTTGTTAACTGCTTGAGAAAAGAGCCGGGTGGAGAACTTGTTAGGAGTGTGCTTGTTCAAGATGAAGAAGCTCCTAAATTTTCCCTTCAAGATCCCTTTTATTTAGAGCAACTACAGAAAGACATGACCATTAATGTCCTACGATCGAATAAAACTTGGGGATCGTACAGACACATAGAATTGCCACCAATGGAAGCGCAACCTGTACGAACAGCTCATGTCTGCCAAATGGTAAATACAAATTTTAATTAACACATATCGAATAGAATTATACAATAATATTAGAGAGGTATTACTATGATATTTAGCTTTTAAATGCATGATTCTATTTGTCGAACAATTGATTATTGTCCCCAAAGTTCTTTTTTTTATCCATTATGTTACAATACAAATTTTGTTTCTTCGTAGGTTCGTGGTGATTTAAATACGTTTTGTTGGATAGAGAATAATATATCAGGCCTGTCTCGTTGTGAAGATTTAGTGCACGTGGTTTACTCATCCCTGAATTTTAAAGATGTAATGCTTGCCACTGGTAAATTAACAACGCGAGGGACTATTTCACATGGACGTTTATTTCAGTATCTTCCTCTTGGATTGGAGTACGTGGGTATTGATGTTTATGAACAACGTGTAATGGGAATTCGTGATACTGAGTAAGTAGTGCTACGAGAAATTAATATGCTGTTATGTTATAGAGTGGACAGTATATAAAAATTATTTCTTCTAGTTGCATAGCAAACGTTGTTGAAAAGGATGAATATCTTGTTTGGAAAATACCCAATGAGTGGACATTTGAAGAGGCAGCAACGGTTCCATGCGTTTACACCACAATTTATTTCGCCTTATACTACCATGGAAAAATGAAAAAAGGTGATAAAGTACTTATACATTCTGGTACTGGAGGTATTGGACAAGCAGCTATTCATGTCGCTCTTAAAGAGGGATGTGACGTGTTTACTACCGTTGGTACAACTGACAAACGGGACTTCATTAAGAAAATGTTTCCGATCATTCCGGATGAACATATTGGAAATTCTCGAGATACAAGTTTTGAACATATGATTATGCGACAAACGAAAGGTCGCGGCGTCGATATCGTGCTAAATTCATTAGCGGAAGAAAAGTTGATCGCCTCTGTTCGGTGTCTAGCTCAAAACGGTCGATTCTTAGAAATTGGCAAATTCGATATTGTTTCTAATAATTCCCTAGGCATGTCTGCATTTCAGAAAGGTATCAGTTTTCATGGGATTATACTGGAAAATGTGATGAAAAAAAATAGTGCTTACAAGTTGAAGCCTTTATTGTTCACATTGATAAAAGAAGGTTTAGAAAATAGGACAATTAAACCAATTCAAGCAAAAATTTTTCCTAAAACTGATATTGAAGAAGCTTTTAGGTATATGGCAAGCGGAAAACATACAGGAAAGGTATGTTTGTACTGACAATGAATATCTTTAATAATATCAAAAAGATTCTTAATATCTGTAATAATAGCAGAAAGATCCATTCGTAAATAACTTTATAAATAATCCTATTCATGTATAGCATTCATTTTTGAAATATGATTGTTTTTATAGATAATTATAAATATCCATGAAAAGGATGAACCTTTAGATAAACATATTCTTGCACATCGTCGTTATTATTGTCTCAGAGACAGAAGTTACGTTATTCTAGGAGGTCTGGGCGGATTTGGTTTAGAATTAACCGACTGGCTTATATTTCGTGGTGCCAGAAACATTGTTCTGGTTTCAAGAAATGGAATAAAGAATGGTTTCCAACGCATGAAAATTCGATTATGGAAGTCGTATGGGATAAACGTTCTGATCATCAAGAATATCGATGTTTCTGACCTTATAGATTGCGAATATCTCTTACGGACTGCGGAAAAAGAAGCTTCGGTAGATGCTATATTCAATCTTGGTGTGGTACTGAAGGATGGATTCTTCAAAGACCAAACCGCGAAAACATTTACAGAGTCCTTCCAATCGAAGGCTCGAGCAACGCAAATGCTGGATAAGCTTTCTAGAAAGATCTGCCTTAATCTACGTCATTTCGTAGTGTTCTCTTCCGTTTCCTGTGGCAGAGGAAACGCTGGGCAGACTAATTATGGCATGGCCAACTCCATCATGGAGAGAATTTGCGAAAAGAGAGCAGAAGAAGGATTACCAGGATTGGCGATTCAGTGGGGAGCTGTAGGTGACGTTGGTCTTGTCGCTGACATGCAGGAAGACGATAAGGAATTAATTATCAGTGGCACTCTACAACAAAAGATATCTTGCTGTCTCATTGAGTTGGATAAGTTTTTACTTCAAAGTCGACCGATTGTGAGCAGCATGGTTGTAGCTGAAAAAAAAGTAGGATGTCATGGATTGGGAAATTTAGTAGAAACAATTGCTAATATTTTAGGTAAATGTTCCTTTGCAAACCTATGCTTTTGCTATATATATATATATATATATAAACTTATTATAGTTTTTTACCAAATTACGAAAAAATACATTGTAAACACTCGTAATATAATATATACATATTGTATAGTATATTATAATAGTTTTCCATTTTACATTACAGATATAAGTGACATGAAAGTTGTAAGTCAGAATTCATCTCTGGCCGAACTTGGAATGGATTCCATGATGACCGTTGAAATTAACCAAACTTTAGAACGAGAATTTGATATTTTTCTTACTGCGCAAGAGATACGAAATCTCACTTTCGCAAAACTTTTTAAGATGTCCGTTGTAAACATCAGTACCGATGATGCACAAGATGAAAAGGAATCCGACGTAGAGAAGTTAGATGTTGTGAAATTTCTGGTTGGCATTATAAAAAATGAAGATTTTATTTCTCAAACTTGTTTGGATTTTTCGTCCAAGAACAAGAATACTATGACTGAAGTATTTCTTATTCCGGGTATTGACGGATGTGGAACCGTATTTAATCGTATAGCACCATATGTTAAATTTTCAACATCGTTATTGAATTATAATACAAATAACATCAATTCTACTACAAATATAATATTGGAAACGATTAATCATCTCACAAATGTACGCAAACGTTAATAATTTTATTTTAATTTGGCAGGGGTAATTGTTTTTGCTTAAAAAATGTAAATTTCTGTAATTAAACTTCTTTCAATACTTTTACAGCACATATGTGCAAAACTAACAGGTGAAAAAGATTTTGTAATGGTAGGATATTCCTTCGGATCTATCATCGCAGTAGAATTAGCAAGACGATTAGAAGCTATGAATTTTAAAGGACGATTGGTTCTTATCGACGGTGCTCCTGAACAAGTACGATCAATATTCGCACCTTTTGAAGATTTGGACGATGCAGATATTCAGATTGTTATTCTAACTAATATTATGGAAAGTTATTCAGCAGGAAATACTAACGAGGTATATATAATTTCGTTCTTGGATTTATCCAAAAATTAATTTATGATATATTCATATTATTTTTTTTATTTTTTTTAATGTGGCTCGGTATTAATTTTTTCGTTCTATCTTATGGTCATGTATATAAAAAGATGTACAATTTTGTAGATTTTAATGGAATTAAAGAAATGTGATACTTGGGATGAAAGATATAACGTTTTCGCTAAGCAATTCTTGACTCTAAACACGTCTGTCTCATCTACAAATTTAAAAACACTATGTACAACGGTTTACAAATATTCATCCGCTATTCGGCAATATGATCCTTCAATGTTGCCGCCTATTAATTCTCCCATAATTTTACTAAAATGTACGGACCCGATAAATATACGAGCAATTGAAGAGGATTATTGTTTGCACAAGGTATTTTATAAAATATACAAAAATCTGAATACTTAAATCAATTTTAACAATACTTTTTGTTAATGATTATGTAATTATTTAAGGTAACACGAAATGCGGTAAGAGTACATTACATTGATGGTAATCATGTAACGATTTTGAAGAACGAAAAAGTGATAGCTGCAATTAATGGAGAATTACCATTTTTGTAATTTAATATTGTAATTAATTTGTAATTTGATGATATTGAAGGGATAAATAGACGAATTTTTTAAATATGTTAATAAAAAATCCTGCTTTTTTAAATTTTGATAAATAGATATTTGCAATAAATGCAAAAAATATTCTATCAGATCAAAATCACACAATAACAAATTTAAATTCGGCTATATAGGAGACAACACGGTAAGTGATGGATATTGTTGTTGTAAAATTATTTATTAAAACATGATATAATAACAAAAACGCAAACAAAAGTTAAACGAAGAACTAAAATATAAAACATTTTTATCAAAATGTGACATTTATCAACAACAGACGTTTCGACCTCGCTTAGGTCATTTTCAATGTTGAAATGTACAAATTTTTAAAAACTATACAATACATATAAAATTTTTCTAAAAAACTAAAATAAGAGATGGTTGCATTTTAAACGATGTTTTTCGTCGTAAGAAGGTATCATTATTGTGAGTATTGTAAAATAGTTGTGTGAGTGTTACCAGTTTTATAAGATTAATCAAGAGGTGTCAAGTTTTTTAGTGCGTCGATGGAAAATGATCTTCTCTTTTTCTTCATTGTTGGATAGTCCTTCTTATAATAAGTTTCATGGTTAGTGTTAAATTATTTCAAAGTCATTCCCATGAACAGAATTTGTGAAAATGTAATGTGGAACTACAACTGTACAATATAAGATAATAGAAGTTATATTACACAATACACATTCAGATAGATTAATTATTTTAGTTAAATTTTCTTTTTGAAATTGTGGATGTGAGAGATGAAAAACTTTATCGACCAAGCCCAATATAATGCCTTTCTTTTGAGAAATAGGATGTTGGGAAAAAAAATTCAGATATCTTCCCGAAAACGCAGGTTTTTGATACCAATTAAATTTAATAAAATTTTTTTCTATCAATAAGGACACGTCCAAAAAATGTATTATGTCCCTCCCCTTTCCATGGTAACTTGAATGGTAAGAATTAAATAGATTTAAAGTTATCAAATTCAGAATAAGGAAGGCAAATGAGAAGATCATCAAAATATTTACAGTAAAACATTATCATGAATTTCTATTTACTCAACACCCAACTCTTCAAATCTTGACTAAATCGGCCATCACTGGTGATAATGGTGAGCCCATAGGAGTACCAAATTTTTGTTTGCAGAATATTGACCATCAAAAGTAAAGAAGGTGGAATCCAAAACCATTTTACCGCATGAAGAAATTCTTTTTTTGGTATCTCACAATTGATCGATATGTAATTCCACCTTCTGTCTAGAGCCGAAATCACTAACGCAATAGGAATGTTGGTAAAAAGAGAAGTAACATCCAAAGAAATCAATCCAAAACCTATATCTATTCTAGTATCTTTAAGATTATTCACAAGTTGATAACTATTATTTATAAAGCTCTGTGCCTTAGGAACACTTCCGACGATCAACTCATGTAAAAAGAGAGAGTTAGCCAGATTATACAGTGGGCTGTCAATCGATAAGATAATTAATAATACGAAAAGGGCAATTGGGTTTATGGACCTTAGGCAATGCATATGCTCTTGGTAAACATTCATCACTACAATATAATATTTTGTATGTTACGTATGAAATAAACTCCATTTTTTTTTTCATCTAGCAAGTAAGCATTTAAATCTGTATGTCATAGAGGCTAAAGGATCTTTATTAACTTTTAAGTATGTACAATGATCCTTGCAACGTCACGTTAATTTTTTTAAGATAATCTGTTCTGTCTAAGACCACCGTGATGTTACCTTTGTCAGCTCTGGTACAAATGACATTCCAATTATTCTTAAGGAATTTTTTGGTCATTTGAATAAGATATTTTAAAGTATTAACAAAATGAAAAGGACTTTTTGAATTTGTGAAAGACAAACAACGGTTAACTATATGCCACGATCTATTTCTGATAGTATTATGAACTGAAGATATATATTGATCTGTCAGATCAATTTAACATAAATAAATAAAATTTTTATGATAAGCGTTATAGGTCAGCTAACATAAGTTTAAGTTTTTATTTGTGAGAGATTTTTCACATTACAAATTTCTACACAAATTTTGATATTGCGTACAACCTAGTAATACAATTAAACTAATTTATTTTTATTAAATCATATGCACTTCAGGCTTGCGTTTAGAAACTTCACACTCGAATGTTCTGTATATCATTTTCTTTTATTTTTATTGCTCACTCTATTCACAAAAAAATCACAATAATGAATTTTTATATCGTTTATAATAAACAAATAGTGTTTGTGGTTTTCCAATTTATGTTTTAGTCTAAGGGTTGGATTATACTGGCCGTAATCTGTTAACTTATGCCGTAATCTGTAAAAATTGACCAATTAAAATCCATTATTCCCCTCTCATTCGACTGTGATTAAAAATAAATGATGTGGTAGCGGAAATGTCAGGTCACCAAAATAAAACAAAAAAAAAGAAAATAAATTATAAGTTCGTCAATATATCATTTACAAATGTAATTACAAGCGCGCGAGAATAAAAGTACTCGATTATAAATCGCTCGATCGCAATGAAGTCTTTATTCGGCCGCGGTACTACTTATGCGAATTTCACCGATTCTCGGAATAAGATTGAGAATTCCCCGAACGCGACTGTCTTAACCGGCGTCAGCTGTTTGACTATTCTTATGCTTAATCTCACGCTCGCTTCTTGTCCGTTTGCGTCTTCCTCGCAATTTCTATGTTCTGTAATAGTACATTGTGTAACGCATGAGGGCTAGTGTTATGGCGCGAAGGGCGCGAAAGTACGAGCGAAGCGAGTGCGTATTCGCGCCCGTCCCGCGCTATAAACAATATACCCCCACTAGTTACTCATAATATTTTTTGTCACGCGTACGCGTTTGTTACTTGTAACGCGAAGTTACACTTACAAATTACTTTTTTGGTAACTTTACTGGTAACTGCGTTACTTTCTTTTTTTGGTAACTGTAACGGTATAACGTAGTTACATTTTTTGGATAACGGTAACGAAATTTACAGTTACTTTTATCGTTACTTTGCATACGATTGGACACTTTATTCCGTTATATAACAATTACGTGTTATTAATTACGACAGCTATAAATGTGATTGTAGGACAATGAATGTTTTTATTTAATATAGGCGTATAAGCTACACTTAGTTTAATTTAATCTAAATATCGTACACATTATGTTCTAATTGAGCTGTGTATAAAGCTTTACTCTGTACATTTCTGTGTACATTTATGTTGAGCAATTGGAAAACATCCCTTTTTGTAAAACTTCTGTTATACATTTTAATTACAGCGTTATAATTTTCTTTCTATCAAAATATTTGATTTACAGCTAAAAGTATAAATTAAGTAAAAGTATAGCTGTATTATAATAAAAATATTATGTGTATTTCTTAATTTTTCTTTTAACTTCTAACTTATATTGTGATTCAGATAGTCCTATACAATCCTACATAATCTTTTAGTTTTCTGCAAAGTATACAAAAGTTCCCAAAATATTTTAGCTGTCAACTGCTGTAGCGATCCTGAAGTGATCTTTGACAATTGAGAAATATATACAGTACCATTATTTCAGGAATCATTTTGCACTTCTGTCTTCTATGTGATACATATAATCGGACATATGTATATCTCAGTTTGCTGCATATTTTACAGGTTTTAGAATTACCAAACTGTGTTAAAAAAAAAAACTAAAAAATAAAACTATACATAGTGTCAGTGTTATACATGCTATACGCTATACTATATATTGCTTTTATTAACGTTTAAACAAAAAATACTGCAAAAGTACATTTTTAGACAGATTTTTAAAAAGTAACGAAAAAATAACGAAAAGTTACCTTTCGAGTAACGATAACTGTAACGAGTTACTTTTAAAAAGCGATAACTAGTAACGGTATCTCCTTACTTTTTTTTACTCAGTAACAAGTAACTGTAAAACTTGTTACTTTTAAAAAGTAACTTTCCATTCCCTGCAAGTATGTGTTCGTGTGTCTGTGTTATCTTTAAACGACGGTTCCTAAGAAATTTAAACCTGTGGCAATGCAATCGCTACAATGTAATTGTCATTTTTTTTAGAACTCACATATTTTTATAGACAACAAACAAAAATAAGCATAAATGAAATACAATAATCTATAACAGCATTCTAACTTCTAATATTTTATTGCAGTCTATTTTATCTTTATATATGAAATAGACAAATTGTTAATCTTATTTGATATATGTGAAATAGAATTATTTTATAAAATATACTTAAATAATATTTATCACGTGACATTCACGTAATATTTCCATTTGTAATTGTAATTTTATGTTTTTAATTTTATTGCTATGTGAAAACAAATTTTTTCAAAAGTTTCAATGTAAATTAAAACACCTACAGATTTAATGCATACATCAAATTTTTAAACAAAAAAGAATTGCTCATCCGGGTGCAATTTATCGATGAGGACAAGATACGTAATAAATAGATATTATATTTCTGTAGAATAGCATCCACGTGAACAGTAGATAATATTACGTAATTTTAATATAACTTGAGATACTTCCACATTGACATTACTAATATATAATAAACGTAAAATTTTTGAATTAAAAAAAGTTGCTCATCCGAGCAGTATGACAATGAAGCAAGTATGTAAAATCAATACTGTTGTCACAGACTATACAGTGGAATCTATAGGTGCGTTCCGTAACGCACATGTTGTGCATGATGCATCCATTGTCCTTGTTTAATATTTAGTGAGCAACAAGGATAAACGATGCATTATGCGCACCATGCGAGAAACGGAACGCACCCTATGTGAATAGCTGAATCGCAGTAGATAGTTAGCTTAATAATACTATTAGCATTCAAGGTGAAAATTTAATTGATATATTTTTATTTTCTCCTAAAACTGCTTAACTAATTGATTAGTTAAGTACTTATTTTTGGAGCGCTTCATGCATAACTCGCAACGCACCATTATTATAGTTTTAAGGAAAGCTTTATAACAACTTTAAATACTAAAAAAAGCTGTAATGG